CCATGGCTAAATCGACTCGGCTAGTGATCCTTGTCAGGATAATATATATTTTTTGGGGTCGGAAACGTTTCCTTCTGCCTGTTACATACTTTCCGACGAATCTAGTATATCTTTTTACTCTACGAGTAACGGAAATAACTACCTTAACATAAGTGCTGCATAGTGTTTTATAATTGCCCATAACCGATCTTACCTGTACAGCTGAAAAGGGTGCTCAATACAATTGCTTTTTGTGTTTTCGAGCAATGGATTAATGATGAAGCTTAATGTAGTTGTTGTGAACAGTTTTTGAAAAAGTTCTTTAAAATAAGTACCCCTTTTATAAAGTTTTCGAATTATTTCTTTGGTGTTCATGATATTTTATTTAAAAATTTCACCTGTTTTATTTCAGTTACATTTTTTTTTAATTTTGGTTACTTTTTATAATAATCGCAAGTATAATTGGAATTTTTTTTTTTTCGAAGTCATTAGTTGCGTTTTGCAAGTCATTGTTAATAGTATTGTTAGATTATCATTAATAGTATTGTTACTTGTTCCTTATCAATTTTTCCTGATTCTAATTTAATCGTTTGCCATGGAATTACAGCTTTGTTATCTATTGAACACATGTTGAGTACATTTTTGAATTTTCTAAATTGTTTGTCCATTTGGACACACCTCTAAAGCTTCTCTTAGGATCTGTGCATTCCTTTGCTCGACAAGATCAGCATCGCCTAGTCCAACGTTCCTCATGCGCTTTTTCCTCCCTCGGTGATGTAAGCTGCGGATTGCCTCCCACTGCTGCAAGTGTCCAGAGCCCTCAGACGTTGCAAGTGCTGGTCCTCGCACAGGCTGTATTTATCTCCGTTAGTCGTAGAGTAACGCCCTCTTTAACGACCAAAATCCGCCCGCAAGATTCTAAAAATCCCATATGGGCATTTCCTGGGGTCGGGAGCGTACGTTTGTAAGCACTTTGTGCAATAAAAAAAGGAAATTAAACGTCTTCTGAATTTTTTTCTTGCTATTCGATAGCATTTTGTTAGCTCATTGCTTAGTGTAAATGATAGGGTTTATTGAGCTATAATTTTCATAATATTGGCAAAAAACATGCGGCCGCGAACGTACGCAAAATGAAAGTCGACTTTGGCCTTGTTGAACTAATAAGCTTTTTTATTAATTATTGCTTAATTTTAAAATACGAATTTCAGCTTACTTTATGCTTGTTAACAATTTATTAGCGAATGAGAGAACAGCAGGCGAGACGAGAGTGCATTAAATGTCGAGATCAGAATTCGTACTGATCTTACAAAGGGACAGCCAGCCGAATGCTGGGCCCAAGAATGCAAGTACCAAAAAACGAGAGAGCTAGATAGAGAGAGCTACCTTTCGCGATGCAAGAGATCGAATTAAGACGTTAATTAGCTGCTGCGGCTGCATGACCTGACATACTCCCACCGTTGAAAGCCTTGGTTTCAACATCATCTTTAAGGGGTAGCAGACACAGCTTTGTTTACTGCTCGCTTTGTCCCTCCTAACGCTGTCTTCAGAACGGCAACTCGAGCAACCCCATTTCCACCAAACAGCAGCTCGATCACTCTGGCGCGGGGTCACTTCATGGGAGGCAAGTTTTCGTCCTTGACCAGAACTAAGTCATCGACAACCAGGCCAGGTTTTGGGGTGCGCCACTTGGAGCGCTGCTGCAGTAACGTTAAGTATAATGCTTAGCGATCTTCACAGCCGCTTTCCAAAGACCGCCAAAGTGTGGCGACCTAGGAGGAATGAAACACCAATCAAAAGCCTCCGCTGGGAAAAAGTCCAATGTAGCTATCTGATGATCACTGCTAAGGAATAGGTGCCTTAGCTCGAGCAGCTTATTGCGAGCGCCAACAAAGTTGGTTGCATTATCAGACCAAATCTGCCGCGGCCTTCTTCTAGTGCATATAAATCGTTTGAGAAACGATACAACAACTCCAAATGAATAGCCTTCGTGGCGAAACAAATGAAGACACAAACGTAGCACTTGTAGAAAAATGGCCCGCAAAAGTCAATGCCAGTGACTTCGAATGCATGAGATCCATCAAGTCGTTCCTTTTGGAAGATCCGCCATGCTCCACTACTCGAGGCCTCATTCGAAAGCATCTAATACATTTGTTTACCGCCTTCATCATAGTCTTCCTCCCCCCAATAAGCCAATATTGGGATCAAATTATGCAGATGGCGTTCATGAAAGTGAGTAATAATGGCAATAGTGACCAAATGACTCCGTGGTAATATAATTGGATGACGCCCATTAAAATCCAGAGAAGAATTCCTTAGCCGGCCATCGACTCTAAGAAGCCCAAATTGGTCAATGAATGGCGAAAGAGATGCGAGCGATCTGGAGGAGTGCACCATTACCTTTGACTGCAATGATTTGATGTCATCCCATAAATGTGAGCGCTGGACAAGACGAAGCAACAGCAGAGTACCGCCTTGAAGGTTAGACACCGTGAGCGTAGGGATGCGATTACTAAACTTATAGACGTATCCGAAAATTCTTTGAAGGACAGCAAAGAAATTTGCAAATTTTGAACTGGCCACTATGTCTTCGAATGGAGATTTTGTTAGTAGAATCCTCCGGCGAACCTCAAGCGTTGGCTTTTCAGCAGTGATTGGTGTCGGCCAGTCAGCTTTGGGGCCACAGAGGAATTTTGGTTCATAAGCCCAGAGAGGAGACTCGTTGAGCTCAGCAGGAAAAGCACCTCGGGAGAGAATGTCAGCTGGATTTAAAGAAGTTGGAACATATCGCCAATCTTCTGACTCAGTTAGCTCTTGAACGGCAGCTACTCGGTTTGCTACAAAAATATTGATTATGGACGGCTCGTCTCGGATCCATGAAAGCGCAACAGCAGAGTCGCTCGAGCAGAAAACTTTCCCTCAAATGCACTCGTCCCAGCCACTTCTGCGGTGAGCCTAGACCGGAGTTCCGCCCCACACAGTTCCAGCGTGGCCACAGTGAGTGTTTTCAAGGGGGCTACCCTTGACTTTGAGCAAAGTAAGTGAGATCGGCCGTTGCAAATGATGTAGACACAGGCACCATATGCTTCTATGCTGGCATCACAAAATCCATGAATTTCACTCTCAGAGTTTTGAGAACGAACCAGCCGAGGAAATGACGCATGCCTAATCTGCCAAAAACTCGCACAAATAGCACTCCATTCCGTAATCTGTGACTCAGGAAGGCTTTCATCCCAGGACAACTTCTCCTTGCACAGTTGTTGAAGGAAAATGTTCGATTTTGTGATCACAGGGCCAACCAACCCGAGAGGATCGTAAAATCGCGCTATTGCAGACAGGACAGATCGCCTGCAGGGGCTTGATGTTGACTGTAATACCGAAAAGTAAAACAATAGTTGGTCATAAACTGGATCCCAAGCGAGACCTAAGGTTTTTGAAAAATCAGTGCCATCATCAAACTTCAAATAGGACTCCTTATCCTTGTCTGCAACTCCATCCAATACAGCCGACACATTTGAGCACCACTTTCTAAGCTTAAATTTTCCCTTGGCTAGAAATGTTGCCTGATCCATAATGATGACTGCCTCTTCCTTGGACTTGGCTCCAGATATCAAATCATCCACATAAAAATCGCGACGAATGACCTCAGCCCCAAGCGGAAACGCTGTATGCTCGTCAGCTGACAACTGATGCATAGCTCGCACAGCCAGAAATGATGCCGGCTTCGTGCCATAAGTAACGGTGTCTAGCTTAAACACCCGCAATTGGCCCTGGGGGGAATCCCTCCACAAAATGCATTGCAAATGGCTGTCCTCAGACTGAACCCTAACACAGCGGTACATTTAGTAAATGTCTCCTGTGATTGCTACTGGGTGTGAACTAAACCGAAGAAGAATCTAGAACAGCTTAAGCTGAATAACAGGGCCTGCCATAAGAACATCGTTGAGAGAATAGCCTGAGGAACTGGCCGCCGATCCATCAAAAAATACGCAAAGCTTTGTAGTGAAGCTATTTTCCTTTATGACGCAATGATGAGGCAAGAAGTATTGGCACAACCCGATGTCAGCGGCTGAAACTGATGATATATGTTCTAGATCGAGGTATTCCTTTATGAATGCTGCATATTGAGCCTTCAAGGCTGGTTGACAATTCAACTTTCTCTCTAGGGACAAGAATCTTCGATAAGCTTGCTGGTAGGACTCTCCCAAAAGATCTAGATTAAACTTGGCAGGCAGCCGAATTTTCCGCCGACCAAGAGGTTTCTCTTTCTTCCCCTCTCTCTTAAATGGGAACTTAATTTTTATCGCGGCTGGCTTTTGGTTGTTCGTACATATATATATTTTATTACTGCTTAGAATATTTTATTTTTCATCATAATCAAAGATTAAGAGTTGAGATCTTAAATTTAGTTTCCTTTGCTTTCTGACGACCACAAACCGCCCAAAACTGTGGCGCCCACAATTTTCATAATATAAAAAATTTTTACCTAAAATGAATTATTCTCGTCAATACCTATCGAATGATATAAAAAAAGTTTACTATGCCCACTTTAACGTCCACAAACCTTGCTAGAAAAAAATTTTAACTAAAATGTATTATTCTACTTTTTATAAAAAAAAGTTCGACACGCCCACTTTAACGCACATAACGCTTAAATCTGTCTGTCACCCAGAACCGTATATTGAGATCGCGGCTAGTTGGCACAGTACAATCTCGCTTTGCTGCTTGTATATGCCTGTTTTCATTTGGTCCCGATTTTCATTTGGCTTCTGATGGTCGAGGCAATTGATTTTTTGTTCAGCTTTTAGCTTGGAGGTGGAGTAAGTATGCGTTTGCTGATTTTAATATTATTTATACATTTTACCACAGTTTTACCATATTTTTATAATAATAATATTTGTAATGAATATAATAAATGTAAATTCACTAAATAGAGCCAATGTCCTGAGTCAAGACACCTGACACACTTTTGTGGCCTAATTATTTACTTATTCAAATCTATTATTTTCGCCTCGATTATGTAGTGCTTCATGGAGGAGGTGAAAGAGCACCCGTACGTCATGCAATGTGATGCCGCCAAGCCGCTGATAGTCGACACTTTTAAATTCATGTACGACTTGGACTTTTTAAATCCGCAGGCAGACGAGGTAATAATTATTATTTTGGCCAACCTTCACTTTCCATCTTACTTTCCACTACAATCTTAGCTAACTACTCCACCGCTCGCCATGCCGCGGCTGCCACACGAGGTAATTTTTGCAATTGGTGGCTGGAGCGGTGGAACCTCGAAGGGTTGTATGGAGACTTACGACACACGGGCTGATCGCTGGGTTAACATCAACGCTGAGGATCCTGCCGGTCCACGCGCCTACCACGGCACCGCAGTGCTTGGCTTTAAAATATTCTCGATTGGCGGATACGATGGCGTTGAGTACTTCAACACCTGCCGCGTATTTGATGCCGTTAAGAAAAAGTGGAACGAAATCGCTCCAATGCACTGCCGTCGCTGCTACGTAAGTGTAAGCGAGCTGAACGGCATGATTTATGCTATAGGTGGCTACGACGGCCATAACCGTCTGAACACTGTGGAGCGGTATAACCCAAAGACCAATCAGTGGTCTATTATTCCGCCTATGAACATGCAGCGTTCTGATGCAAGCGCGTGCACCCTGAATGGTCGCATTTACGCCACTGGCGGATTTAACGGCCAGGAGTGCTTAGACAGCGCCGAGTTTTACGACCCAATAAACAACGCGTGGACTCGAATAGCTAACATGAATCATCGTCGGTCCGGAGTGAGCTGCGTGGCTTTTAGGAGCCAGCTGTACGTCATCGGTGGCTTCAACGGTACAGCGCGTCTATCTACCGGAGAACGCTTCGATCCGGAGACACAAAGTTGGCACTTCATCCGCGAAATGAATCACTCGCGTAGCAACTTTGGACTAGAGATTATTGATGACATGATCTTTGCAATTGGCGGCTTCAACGGAGTCTCGACCATCTCTCATACAGAGTGCTACGTTGCGGAATCAGACGAGTGGATGGAGGCCACTGATATGAACATTGTCCGTTCCGCGCTGTCTGCCAATAACGTAGTAGGGCTTCCAAACAAGCGAGACTATATTCATAAGGAACGGGACCGCCTAATGGAGGAGAGACGTCAGCGTCTTATGTCCACCGCCATGGCTCGGGAGAATATCGGCCACGTCAATCCCTCGCAATCGTTAGTAGAGAACAACGAAGGTGGCATGGATGGCTACGATGATGAGGAGACTGAGCACCAGCAACTAGTACAGCAGCAGATCATACCACTCCCCCTAGGCCTACAAATTCCGGATGTAGCTGCTGACCCAGCTATTTTTAATGGTCTTATTCCAAGACTAGGTCTTGATCTCCAGACGCCAGGTCAACCTTTACCGGTCTCCAACGTCCAATTCAACCGTATGATTGAGGATCGTGACCTGGACAACAGACGCCGATTTCGTATGCAGCTGCGTAACCAACGCCATGGATCGCATCATGAAATTCGCCGTCCCACCTAGGCGACACCTATTAGAACTCTTACCCTGATTTACCCTATTTCTGAGGGACAACAAAAAATCGTGTGCAGATCACCACAAAAGATTAAACGTAAGCGTGAGGCATGGTAATTTTACAAGTACTGCAGCAAAGCCCACGTCCGTCGAAACCGCTTTTCAAAAAAATTTTCCACAGCCCAAACAAAAACAAACGCAACGTGTGGTTACCAAGTCGTCGTCTTTTTTCATTTATTTAACGGAATTATAAAATTGGACGTTCCAAGTTCAAAGTAAATCGAGCCATTATATTTAATGAAAATTATAGTCTATCTAAATTAAATAAATAAATATATCATCATCGTAAAGTATACCGAATTTCAATAAAACTTTAATTGGTCCTAATATATATATTTTTTTTTTGGCAACAGATGTATATTTCCCTAACTGGCTACTTATGTATAACTTAACTAATTACAAAAAGGAAACAAGGCTTTTCTTTTGAGTCCAGGCTATAAATAAGCAATGCCCGGTAAATGGGCTCAAAAAGGCATACTTTTTTGGTATAAAAAAAGGCTTAAAAGCTCAGCTTAAAGAAGCTGGATTCGGTAAAATCGTTTGTCCCCTGTTAGTCCACGTTTGTCCACCCATTAGAATTTTGAAAAAACCTGCCACATTTTTCACCTATTTTCTTCTTTGAATCTTTTTTCTAGATTATTATATCTTTTCACAATGTGGAGTGCACCTCTTTATAAGCCAACATTCAATGACATTCAGGTATTACAACCAAAAAAAATTTTATTGAATGGAATTTCATCATATTTTTTCAAAGAATTCCGTATTCCGGAGTTCAATAACTCCGCACTCGAGAAATAACTGTAAGGAGCCCTGTCAGTTGTTGAATACGGAGAGGCCGAGGATTAACGTTATTAGGAGGCCTTTATAGCCGGCACAGCACTGGAAGCTGGACCAGTCATCGGGAATAAAATCGCGTGTGAACAACGTCGAAGGAAATACAGCCGTGAAAAACAGCAAGGAGCAAGATCGCTTCGTCCAGACGTTCTGGACAGCATAAGCATACAAAGTGCTATAATTAGTTCAAAAAACGCTAAAGAGCTAGTGTTGCTAAGATTTGATGTAAATCATTAGGTGGCTTACCAAAGCAATCTACTCGAGTAAGAAGGCAACCTGACGTTACGATCACGTGACGTAAGGCAAAAAGAAGAAATTGTGTCTGTACGGACTCTATACGCTCAATGTGCACTTCAAACCGAAGAACAGTATATTCGGTCCATGGGCATGTTCTGAAGATCGTAACTCATGAACCTAGGCGTACCCCTATAGAAAGACATAACGTTGCATTTAAGATAGTGTTCGTAGCCAAAGTACTCAGCTCGGTCTAGCAAGGTTGCGCAGCACGGGTCAAACGCACGCAACCCCAAACACGACGGAGTTGTAAGTTGTCAGCAAGCAGTACAGACGACCAATGCAACTTATACAGCGACCAGGCGCACAGTAGCAGCACAATATAGTGCCGACGCTGCAAGTATGGGACAAGTATGGGTCAAGCAGCAAGCAGCATACTGCTGACATTGCAGCGTAGACAACCAGCTAAAATAGGTCAACACGCTTGCAGCTCCAACCCGATGCCAACATAGCAGATAATGCATGTCCAAAACTTCCGGGTCATGATAGTATTTAAGCGCTAACCAACAGCTCAATAAAGTCAGTTACAAATCTAAGCACTCACAAGTCTTATTACTTCTCTCACGTAAAGACTCTTGTCAACTCACCCTAACACAGCTCATCGATCGCCTGTGGTCCGGCACCATACTACCCTAGCTATCTGTGTCGCGACGCGAATCGTCCTGTGCTCTCTAGTGTCCCCGTGCTAGCGTCAGGTGTGTCATTATTCTCCTTGTCCCGCGGCGTGACCTCAACACACTTTTGATCCCCGTTTACACGAGTATCCGGTACCTCTACTCACACAGTCCATATCGCCTGTGGTCCGGCACCGTGATACCTATAATCACCCGTGTCGCGACGCGATCCGACTGCAACAAACAGCGTCCCCGTGCCAGCGACGAGCGTCTATACCCCTCCTCGTCCCGCGGAGTGACCCGACCTTGTCCATCGAACTTAGGCAAGAACAGATAGTTTAAGTTTAAAAGGTTGTACTGACACCATTCCTGAACTGCAAGTAGAAACCAGACTCAATAATTTTATATGACAAACAAAGCCTTGTAATGTGCATGTATCATTATATTGAGTACCCACTGTACCGACACCAACATTGTGTTACAGTGTACTTAAACAAATACAATAGTGCTGGCCGCTAAACTCGTGCGGCCAGCCGAATTATGAATGCGCCTCAGAGCCCAACTTATGGAAAGTGCTAGTGTCAGCATATTGCCATAGCCTGAGTGCAGACACATACAATGAATGCATATACAACTTCTCTCGCACTCTCGCCGCTATCAGCCAAATACATTTGTGAGCATGTACTTTGATATATATGACGGCCGCTGCCAATGTTTGCAGGAAGCGCAGCCGCGAATAGCTACCTGTAAGTCACTCATAATTTGACAATTGAATAAAAAAGATCTTCCCGTGAACGTTAGCCACTAAGACCAAATTTCTGGACTATTTTCTGGGTTCAACATTGATTCTACTAACCACAAGGAGGACCAGCAATACATGGCGATCGTGACAGCTATGTTGGATCCGGAAACAAAACAAAGTTGAAAGTTGAAGAAACGCGAGGAAGGTTAGAAGAAAGCCAACCAAGCAATTTTAAAAAATACAAAGGTTTGCCGCAACATACATTTGTGAAAAAGAAGTGAAACAATGTGTGTCTATTGTGTCTAGTAAGACAAAAACGAAATTCAAATAAAACACTAAACAAAAAAAAGTGCAACAAAAACTGAAGAAAATGGTTACGGTACAGATTGTACAACAATCAAATGTTAGAGAAATGAAAATGCTGAGAAAATGCTATTGATGAGAGAATCTACTGGTCAGCAGGAAGAGCAAACACCTACAAATTTAGAAAAAACAAGGAAAAACGCTATAGTCGAGTACCTCGACTGTCAGATACCCGTTACTCAGCTAAATGGAGATATGCAAGCAGAAAGCGAGATTAAAATGCGCCACCTACCGGCGGTATACAGATTTAAGCGTTATGGGCGTTAGAGTGGGCGTGGCAAATTTAAAAAATTTAAAAATTTTTTATCTAGCATGAAAATTGTGGGCGTCACAGGTTTTCGCGGTTTGTGGGCGTTAAAGTGGGCGTGGCAAACTTTTTTTTGAGTCAATCGATAGGTATTGATGAGAACAATACATTTATTCTAGCATCAAAACTGTAGGAGCCACCGTTTTGGGCGGTTTGTGGGCGTAAGAGTGGGCGTGGCACATTGCTGAAATAAACTTGCGCTGCGTAAGAAGCTCAGGAATCTGCACGCCAAATCTCAATAGCCTATCTCTTATAGTTTTCGAGATCTCAGCGTTCATCCGGACAGACGGACATGGATAGATCGACTCGGCTAGTGATCCTGGTCAAGAATATATATACTTTATGGGGTCGGAAACGCTTCCTTCTGCCTGTTACATACTTTCCGACGAATCTAGTATACCCTTTTACTCTACGAGTAATGGGTATAATAATTACTGCCTGTGCGAGGACCAGCACCGGCGCCGCCTAAACCTATGGGCCAAAAATATACAATAAAATAAAACGAATGAAAGCAATCTCTGCCTGTGCGAGGACCAGCACCGGCGCCGCCTAAACCCATAGGCCAAGGACAACTATAACAGGATAAAAAAGTGTGGGAGGCATGGCAAATCCTCCTACACCTACGATGGAAATCTAACAAGCATAAAAGACGTCGTGTCCCATCAAAGCATACACTGGAGAAGGAGAAGCCTGTGCAGCCAGCACCGGCCCCGTTCGGCGCGCCAAGCCGGACCCTGGAAAAGTGAACCGACAGCGTTTCCAAGAGCGCACATCTTACATTTTTTTATTATATTTATATGCATCTGCGATGCAAAAACTTTAAATTAACACCAATTGTACAGACCAGGCAGTTTCTAGCTGCGGGTCTTAATTTTTTTTACCTAGGTAGGGATACATGCCAAATTCTATAAATACCCTTAGAAAATTAAAAAAAAAATTTAATTATATACATATAAATGCCTAAAACAAAAAAGAACAATAAAAAAAGGGAAAGGAGGTCAGAACTTCTTAAATTTAAAAATAAAATAATTAAATGATATGCAAGCAGCAAAGCGAGATAAAAATGCGCCACCTACCGGCCGAAGAAAAATTTAAGCGTTATGGGCTTTAGTGTGGGTGTGGAAATTTTTTTTGGATCAATCGATTGGTATTGACGAGACCAATACATTTCAGTTAAAATTTCTTATCTAGCATGAAAATTGTGGGCGTCACAGGCTTGGGCGGTTTGTGGGCGTTAAAGTGGGCGTGGCAAACTTTTTTATGTCAATTGTTAGGTACTGATGAAAACAATTCACTTCAGTTAAAACTTTTATTCTAGCATCATAACTGTCGGACCCACAGTTATTGGCGGTTTGTGGGCGTTAGATTGGGAGTGGCACTCTCCTGAAACAAACTTGCGCTGCGTAAGAAGCTCAGGAATCTGCACGCCAAATCTCAGTAGCCTGGCTCTTATAGATTCCGAGATCTCAGCGTTCATCCGGACAGACAGACGGACTGACGGACATGGCTAGATCGACTCGGCTAGTGATCCTGATCAAGAATATATATACTTTATGGGGTCGGAAACGCTTCCTTCTGCCTGATACATACTTTCCGACGAATCTAGTATACCCTTTTACGGGTATATTAAGAGAATTAAAATTTTGAAAAGAAATAAAAATTATTAACAAATTAAAATGAATACCACAGATTGCATCAGAATTACTACACAGAGAAAATAAAATACCAAAACTGGTCTTCAATCGGGTATTTTTGCATATCAATTTTGATCCCTTATGTTGCCATATTTTCGAACATATGAAATTGATATTTTCGAACATGTCAATTTGGAATTTTTCATACCAGATTGATATGCGCACATATCAAAGTTGTGACCAAATTGTGGTATGCTTTCATATCAAACTGATATGCTTTCATATCAAACTGATATACTTTCATATCAGATTGATATGTTTGTAATATCAATTTTAATCAGTTTTGTTTTTACTTTTTTGCATCTTATAAACAAATAAATATTGAAAGCCCATAAGATCGCTGTAAATATTTATTTTTTATATTCCAGGACTTAGCAATAAATGACCGATCACGCTGTACTCGGATGCCTCCTGTAGCTTTGCATCAGCGCCAGGAAATCCTTCT